CCGCAACCGTGGTGACGTGGCTCGTTCTGGGAGCCGCTCGCCGATGAACTGCGATCACCTCCGCAAATACTATTGCGTGAGGACTCCCTTCGATTCAAAACGTGGTGGCGGCACACACACCCCCGTCGCAGAAAATTTGCGCCAAACGCCGAAGATCCGTATTGAGCCGAGGGTGACAAACTTGTCGAATCTCTGAGATGTGGCCACGTGGCTGCAACAGTTGTTCGTCAAGAGCCCGCTCCGTGATGAAACTCATGGCGAGGTTGAAGAGGAGGACGAAGGACAGGAGGGAGAGAGCGGAGAGAGAGTTAGATCCTCTTCGTTCTCCTTGCTTTCCGCGGAAGAAGAGGGAGGAAGATCAAAAGGAGGAAGAAGACGGAGGTAGGAGGTATGCCGGACAATGGGGACAGAGCTATGGCTGGCATTGGCCTCAGGCGCGATGCGCACCGTGTTGGCGTCGTTGGGTCCGAGCTCAACAACGCGAAAACAGCCAGAAAACTTGAGAGCGAGTTTTCGGTCACGTGCACATTTACGTACCTGCACTAGGTCCCCTAATTTATATTGATGCTGGGGCCCAGCATTTCCATTCTGAGCCTCGTAGCTACGGATCTGTCTACGGTGGGCCAGTTCAGTCATCGCCTTTTTCGGGCCAGCTTCGGGACGGCCCGTTCCATTAATTCGGTGTACCTTTTGGCCTTCGCCTTGAGGGCTGCACGCGTGTCTCTACCCCCTGCTTCAGCAATTTCCGAGTTACCCCGGTAGTCGACACAGGGGAGGCTATTAGTACGAAGTTGAAAAGGGGTAAACCCCGTGGACTCGTGAGGGGTGGCCCGGTGGATCCCGACAATCTGATATACGATTTCGGGCCACGGACGCGTGTCATGTGCCGCTAAATTCCTACGAAGGGCTGTTTTAATCATACGGTTAGCATTCTCTGCCAACCCGCTCGACTGGGACACGTGGGGTGCCGTATGTCGGAGAGTGACGCCCCTTCGCGCGAGCAGTTCTTCCACCTCACCCTTGAATTCAGACCCATTGTCGGTTAGAATTTCTTCCGTATCTAGATGGGTATAGAGAAACCGATCGATGTACGTAGCTATTTCTGCGGCTTTTCGGGTCTTACAGGGGTAAACTTCGATGTACTTGGAAAAATGGTCAATTAATACTAAAGGGATAGAATATTCACAGCGGTTTGGGCCAGGTGGCACATCGATATCTGTCGTGTCCATACTGACTCGCTGGAAAGGACGCTCTACTTCCGTTGGTACTGTCGTGTTTGGTCTCCGAATTGGGGCGCGATCAGCGGCACATACCAGACAGTTGGCAACAATGTATTTGCCATCATGTCGTATGTTGGACTAGAACCACCAGTTCTGGTTTACAGTTGCCTCCGTGACACGTATCGCGAAATGAGCGACCTGTTCTTCGTGAGCAGATCGGATACAGTCATATCTTTGGAATGGATGGGGAACCGTCAACCACGACCCCGATCCGTCAGTTTTCCGTTTTTCCAAATGACCGTTGATCCATCGATAGTCCCGAGATCTCTCGGTCGCCCTACGTATGTCGTGCTTGGTGAGGTAACCCAATGATAATCCCACTAATTTCGCCAATAAAATTTTATCCGTCCAAACCTCCACTCGTCGGTATTTTTCGTCGTATTCACGGTCGTCCGTACGGGCGGCCTCGAATCGAACCTCCGTGGGGAGTTTGTTCGTTCTACACGGGGGGCACCTCCACTCTTTACTACTCGTCCGATATCGAACGCAGGCCCCGTGCGCACGATTGACACACGTGGCACATTCTACCCAGTCTACAAACCCGATTTCGAAAGGATGACAGTCGACCCCATAAACCCGTGCAATGCACGTGCAAAAAAAACAGAATTTATCGGGGAGGGTGGCAAAGAAAGTTGAGGACGTGAGAGGGGCAGAATTAGTAGGAGATGAAGGGGTTGCGGAGGCAGGTGGGGTAGTCATGATGACAGAGGAGGAAGGGTTGGGACTGTATTGCAGAGAGGGTAGAACAGACAAATTAGTCCTCGTGTCGCTTACTGYTTTGATAAGATCTCCACTTGTCCGTACCGAGGTCCGATCTCCTGTTCGGGTTCGTTCCACGGAATCACCTCCTCACTCTTCGGAACTTTCTCAGGCCGGTGCAGTCGTGACAGTCCGTCCGCATTCCCGTGTCTCTCGTGCTTCCGATGACGAATGTCAAAGTTCATGCTCTTCAACACCGTTGCCCATCGCCCGATCATGCCCGAGTAATCCTTCGATTTCTTCAGAGCCAACAGGGGCTCATGATCGGTTACCGAGGTGAACTTTCGCCCGTACAAGTAAGCACGAAAATGACTGATTCCCCAGAGAGCCGCATAGCATTCTCCCGTTGGAGCGGCGTAGTTGCGCTTGCAGGCGGGCACCGGCTTGGACGCATATTCCACCACATTCTCGAGTCCGCTTGGTCCCACCTGGGCAAGGATCGCCGAAATTGCTTCTGGCTGCCAGTTAGTGATGAGAACAAAAGGTTTTTCGGGATCCGGTCTTATAAGGACCGAAGCCGAAATGAGAGCGGCCTTGAGTTTGAAAAACGCTTGATCGCACTCCGGCGTCCAGATCAACGGTCAATCTTTGCGCAGCAGATTTGTGAGGGGTCCCGCAATTGCCGCGAAGCCCTTGATAAACCTTCGGTAGTACGAGGCCAGGCCCAGAAAGGCGCGAACTTGCGTGATAGTTATAGGCACCGGCGCATCCCTGACAGCAGCTACCTTCTGCGGCTCCGGTTGGAGTCCCTTGTCTGTCACCACGTGTCCCAAGAAGGAAATGGTGGTGAGAAAAAACTGACATTTCTCAAGCGCCACTTTGAAACCCGCATCTCGTAATGCGTGCAGTGCCCATTCGATGTGCTGCACGTGTCCCTCGTAGGAACTCGAGTACACCAAGATGTCATCCATGTACACAATCACGCAGTAGTTGATGATGATCTGTGCCAAACGAGTCTTCCGTACGAAATTTTGAAAAGCCATGTTCATGGCTCGTTGAAAGGTTGCGGGGGCGTTGCAGATACCCACCGGACATCGAATCCACTGCCACGTGCCCTCAAAAAACACAAACGCCGTTTTCAGACGATCTTCTTCCCGAACAAGAAGATGATGGAACCCATGGCGAACATCAAACTTACTGAAAAATCGAGCACTCTCAATCGCATCCAACAACTCATCAATCCGGGGGAGGGGGTACACATCTTTGATCGTGATATCATTCAACTTTCGATAATCAATGCAAATGTGAATCCCTCCGGCCTTTTTAGGCACGATTACTACGGGAAAAGACCAGGGACCTATTGCGGGTTCGATCCATCCATTAGCTTCGAACTCTTTAATCCGCTAAAAAGCAGCCGCTCGTTGAGCTGGCGAGTATCGGTAAGGAACGCAACTAATGGGTGGGTGATCTCCCGTGAGAATGGCATGCTCGATCACATTAGTTAAGCCGATGTCATTATCGTGTATGCTCAATACATCTGTGTAACCATTTAACACACAGATTAATGACTCCCGAAGTTTCGCAGGAACGTGACTCGGTAGGGTGATTGTTGATTCTCCGAAAATCTTAAGAGGCATATCAACCCGATCAACCGGCCGTTCTCGCCGATCATAGACACTAGAGAAAACGGAACTACTGGTGCGAACAGAGAAGACAGTTGCTATCATCTGGGACTCAGCGGGGCTGATCATCTCCGTTTCTTTAGTCTAAGCATCAGTCTCTGGACCAACCGAGGTTGGTTCCACAGTTAGCCCCGTTAGATCAGTCATTTCTTGCATCAGATCAGGTACATCACTTACCAGTGCTTCCGCCTCCTGTTTAATCAAGGCGATGGTAGCTCCTGTCGTTAATAACGATCTGGGCGGAAAAACAGAAACATCCAAATACTGTTCCGTTTGCTGATAACGCGTTCGTAAGGAGAGAGCTCCTTCGTACAAAGTGCGAGGGGGTTCCGAATCGTCGGCCAGGTCAGATACTTGTAATATGGGTTCCCCGAGCAGGACTGAAGGACTAACTTGGGTTATTGGAGGCGCAAGCGCGCTGTCTCCTGAATCCATGTGGAAGCTTCGGGCAGTGTCGGGGCACACTTGGAATTCTTCAGGAATTTCGTGTTCGAAGAGTTCGACCAGGTGCTTCCATTCATCTTCGCTAGGCAGCTCTTCTTCGTATTCCTGTTCCCCGATTCCACTATCGATGTCTGAAGAACAACACTCCTCGGGATTAATGTATCGAATCATCCCTATTTGGGCCGAGTTAGAGGTTCTTTTTATCGTAAGGGTGAAAATTCGCAAGGGAACAGTTTGAGGCTTTTTCCCCAGTTTGAGTGAGCACTAGTTGTTTCAGATCGAAATGCAGTCGTGCGCGTGAGCCATCGCTCAAGGTAGTCCCAACAACACGGAATAGGAACGCAAATCTATCACGAGCACGTTGACGAAGACGTGCACTCGTCCAACCTTTACAACCACATTCTCAATAATGCCTACGATATTAATTGTTTCCTCGTCGGGCGAGACATAATTGTCTTTGCCAGATTGAGGAAGAACGGATCCAAGTCGTCCTGTCTTTTTGACCGTATCTAAGGATATGGCCACTACAGAAGACCCTGTGTCGATAAGGGCGTTAAACGGCTTGCCCCAAACTTCACAATCACACTCCGCGCTCTTCCATAATACCGGTCGTGCTCGTACGAAGTGATTTTTTTCTGCTAAAGAGATCGCTGCTATGCGTGCGGCTTCAGGTTCGCCGGCTTCGGGCTCGGGCAGTACGACTTCCTCGCTTCCTTCCTTCTTCTTCAACATTCGCTGTATGCGCTGATAGGTGAAACGCTTTTGATTTTTTTGACAGTGTTGCAAGAGTTTATCATTCGCCACTTCGGATATGGTGAGCAAATGTCCTACTGGGACAGGAACGCGAATGTCTAATTGCTTGAGAGTTCTTAATACGTCAATGTCTCCCGTCCGAAACTGCGGATCAGGATTGGATTCGCGATCGACCCATTCGAGATCATCCGGGGCCGATCGGATCGCTCCGACCATGCCGACGAAATGAAGATACGCAAGTGGATCGACCATGTCAGCAGCGTCAGAGGAAGAAGCTCTCGATGTCGACGCCATTGCCATCGAGGGGGCTGGCTGTTCTGGGCATATGTCACGAGCTCTCCTCCTTGGGCCGTATCCATCAACGCGGCCACTCGTCCTTGTTTTAGGGGCCGCCGCAGGTGGGGGCTGACTACGCTTCGGTTGCGGGCAGTCTCGGGCGAAATGTCCGAGTTGTTTGCAGTTAAAACACTCGATTTTTCCTGCTGGATTAGCTAGGTGAGGGAACTAAGGTGCATACCCTGGTGTAGGCGGGGCAGGCAAGAGTGGAAATGACGCGGGAGCAGGCCGAGCAGGGGCCGGGTTAGGCTTGATTAGTCTGCTCATTATATGTTTCATCCGCTCCATATGAGCATCCTGTATTTGGATCAAGTTGCTCATCCATTCATACTGCTTGGTAATGGTCGTATGGATCATCTGGGCAAGATGTAAGTTGGTTATGGCCGGCGAGGGGGGTTCGGGTGAGATTCCGCTTTTGACTGTCGCCATCGGTTGATTCGTCGGGGGAGAGGAAGACGAAACAGATGGGACGTCAGAAACAATCCCATCGGGGAGGTCATGGTCGGGGCGGGGGTAGAACTGTTCTACCTCTCGCAGCCACGATCGCCTTTTAGCCGCTACATCCCATATAGTATCTGTAATATCCTCGTCTCCCTGACTGATATATTTTTTTGTATGAGTCAGGTCCAGTACCAATGCTTTAGCGATGATAGCCGATAGCTGGTGTGTCTTCGGCGGGACCTTTTTTTGCAATTTCCCTTTCAACGTAGGACTTCGTAAGTGATCGATGAACAGATCTCAAGCGGACTTCTCGTCTCGCCCAGATTTGTCCAATGTGGTTTGAAATCGATCCACGAAATCGGGCAACAATTCCCATGGACCCTGTGGCCGAGTTTTGAGCACGTACCAGGCGGCATCTTCACTGACCGTATCGAATCGGGCCAAAAAGGCTTGCTTGAAATTATTCCAATCTACCCATACGTGCTTTCTAAACCAATCATGCGACGTATTGCGAAGTAGCAAGGTAAGAACGCGGGGAAGATCACCCGCGCTGTAGCCTTGAGCTTGGACGGCTTCCAACCAAGCTTCGGGGTAGGTATGGTTAGGGGAGAAGGGAAAGGGGGTGGGAATGCTAACCACTACCCTATTACCGTCCACCATTGGTATAGTTGGTATAACAGCACCAGATATAGATCTGGTCACTGGACGATCTCGGCGAGCGGGTGGGGGACTTCTCCTTCTACCTCTCGCCAGTTCGACTTACTATCATCAGAACCGACACGTGTCGGCTCCGATACCAACCTCACGCTCTGTGCTGTCTTCCATTCGGAGTGCTAGATGTGCGGAAGGAGGCCCATAAAAACAGCAAGATGGGGTGTGCCAAGGATTTTTGGAAATTGAGTGTGGGGATACAGACGGAACTGAAATCCCCCGTGTTGGTCCGATGAAGTGAGTCGATTGCTTTCGCACGTTTTGGAATGCACGCGCGGCATGGCGCGAAAAGAGAAAAATTCAAATTCAATCCAAAAAGTATTGTCGAGCCTCCCACCATGCCACGGCCCGTCGTTTAGAGCGAAAGGGCTTGGGCACTCTTCGCGTGTCCCGTTTTCGTATCAAGTCCCGTCGTCGTTCGCTGGTCAGTTCTGAGTCTGACGTGGATGGTCTCAGCCGCGTGGCTCTTTCTTTATGCTCGTCTTCACTCCGCATACGGTAGTGGAAACCCCTGGGCCATGGATTCGTAGCCCTCAAAACGCTGACATTCGGTGCAAAGAGTGCGTGGCCAGTGGGGTTCTACTGCCGTCCACGGGATGACAATCAACTCGTTGAATGGCAATAATATCAAGTAAGGTGGGAAGTGTGTATCGATAATGACAAACCCAGCCTCTACGAACCCTGAACAACGATTTGTCAGAGGGAAGTAGTATCGTCCGTCGATTTGTGCAACGGCTTCTCGTACGTCCCACTCGCATACACGTGTCCTCTCCTCGTTGTAGGGAAAAGGCCGTGTTGAGACAGGAGGTGCGAGAGGTTGGTGCCCGATCAGAGGGTACTTGTCAGTCCACATATCAATCAATTGCAAAAACCTCGAGACATCATCAAGAAAGGAAAACTCTCACGCAACCCCCAATCAATCATTTGCTTCACGAGAGAGAGAGGGAAAACACTTATCAGC